CCCCCCCCCCCCCCCACACACACACACCAGGACTCTGGAGTACCGGTAAGTCCTTTAAGTTACTTTCGCCCCGGCCAAAAGACATGTGACTAACAAGTTAAATACCTTGTTTGTCTTAAAGGGTGGTAGCGGCGGACGAGCCCTGGGCCCTTTAAATTGCCGCCTAATCCCCACTGCCGCTACCCCAGGGCTCCGGCAGGCTCCAGGGACAATTTAAAGGGCCTGGGCAATAGTAGCTACCAGAGCCCCGGACCCTTTAAATAGCCACTGGACCCCCGCTGCCACTACCCCAGGGCTCCGGGGATGATTTAAAGGACCTGGGGCGGTAGCTGCGGCAGGCGCCCCGGGCCCTTTAAATTGCCCCCCAAGTCCTGCCACCTCTTCCCCAGGGCTCCGGCAGCAGGGCTCTGGCGGCAATTTAAAGGGCCCTGGGCTCCAGCTGCTGCTGGGGGCCCCAGGCCCTTTAAATTGCTGCCAGGGGAAGCCGATCCGCCCTGGTATGGTGCACCGGCTTACTTTCACCTCTGCTTTTGGCATTTACAAATGATCCACACCAAAATGTTACCAAAAATGGCAAAGGAGGTGGGGAGGGTCAGAGTCATCTGAAGGTCAAATTTATCTGAAACTAATTCAGATAAATTATGAGGCCTATGTAAACACAGGCGTATATCTCACCACCAGGACATGGCAGGAATCAGAGCTGAAGTATTGCAGACAAAATGTACTGTAAATGGAATGGCAGATACTGTAGATCAAATGCTCTCTCAATACCATTGCCTTGGCCTAAAGCCTGAATGAGAGAAAACTAAGGTATTAACAATTGAAAGATGGCCTTAAGAGACTATCTTTGCTAAACTCTTCGTTCCTGGCTTGGAAATGGAGTGGGAGGTTGAGATGCTGGGCAGTAATTTGTGCTCTACACAAAGTGAAAGTCCAGTTGGCTTCATTTTCTACTCTCACACCATCACCAATAATAAAGACCCTGCAGGTCAAATTATGCCCTTGTAACAATTAACTTTTGGGTCATTTTTCAGAGCAGAATATTAAGCCCCAAAATTCAGTTTCACAATGGTAGGGCTGATATCTCAAGTGTCATACTGAGTTTATTATAACTGATATGAATCTTGTAATACCTGAAATGGTTTACATTTTGTAGCTAGAATTAGAGCTCAACAAGTGTCTCTTCTTATTAGTGCTCAGGTATCCGTCACCTTGACCTAGAGAATAACTCCTAGGATAACAAATGTGTTTAGAATACTTCCTTTCCAAAGATTTATGGTTGTGCTGGAGCTACATTTTCTTTTCTTTTTCAGTTTATTTCAACACTATAAACTATATGAATATCTTTTCCACAATCCCAGGGAAGAACTTGTAATAGGCGATGAGGTAAGTAATTTATATGAATAGAACTGATTAAGCAGAATTATTTAATGCAGCCCTGTGACATCTGTTTTATAAAGCTCAAAGCAACTTTGTCAAAATTGCTCAGGTGCTAACAATACAGAATAGCAGATTAAAGAATAAAAGTTAGATATGGTAATATAGGTCTTCAAAATGAGTTATGGGTTTAGAAAAATGTGGTTTTCTTGGTTATAATGTTAAATCTATCGAGTTAAAAATATCTTCATGTACAGTATTTATAATAATGATCTTCAGGATTTTAATTAGATAATGCATGACTCTACTTTAAAATCAGTACTCAAATCACAAAAGATTATGTACAGTAACTCCATGGTGACCAGAGTTCTAGTATACCTAGGCCCATTATTTTTAATGGCAGCTATCAACAGATAATTATATTGATTGTATAGGAACATTTTAATTAGACATGCAAGACTTCTAAGGCACTCAGGTAACAGGTAATTGTGTTGATAAACTTTGTCACATATATCTTAATTTTTATGCGTGTGCATGGACACATTTATCAAAAATGCATTGTCTCAAGATTTAGCCTTTAATCAAATGTTCAGGTTCATCTGTTTATTTCTGCTTGACTCTACTAATTGAGGATATATTTCACAATAGATTGAAAAGGGTTTATGCTTTTATTTTATGAGAGGAGGCAATCAGTTGTTTTGCTAAAAAAAGGTTGAATTTTAGCTTATAAATATTAATGGAAATAAATTAAAGGGAAAAAAATGTTCAGTATTTTTCCTTTATGCTTGAAGCTGGCAGTTTGTGTTTACAAATGGTACTATCCAATTTCTTCCATGTTTCTTCTGACTGGCTTAATAAAACATATGAAAGGTTTGTTTCTCGAAGCAGTCATTAGTATTTTAGAGAATACTACATTTTACCTGTAACAGTGCAACAGGGCATGTTATCATACATTGACTGAGCTGAATCCTGGCTCCACTGAAGTCACTGGCAAAACTCGCATTCACTTCAATGGAATCAGGATTTCACCCTCTGTTTTAATGTTGTTTTATTTTTCAGTGTTAGCTAATCAGGTGAATGGTTGGCTAACACTTGCATACTGGCAAAATTATTTTTAAAAAGTGAAGCTTCAGTTAACAAATCGTTTCACCCATACATTTTGTAATTTATGAGGTAAATTACATTTTAGTGTATTATAAATTAATTGAAAATCTTTTAAAATTATTTTTATGTAAAGCTCATTTCTGAATGGCTAAAATCAATGTTCTGAGTCAGAATGTAGCTTTTCAGTAATGGAACTGTGAATAAATGTCAACTAAACCAATGTCTACCAGCCAAAATGACACCATCTTCCTTATTAATCATTTGGTGCAGTAGGGATAAAAACACTGGAAAAGAACACTGTCATGAATGAATGTCACCCAATTTGCCTTGGCATTTATCTAGCATCAGGACACAATTACCCCGTGACATTCAAATCCCTCCTTAATATAAACTTATGGTGTGAAACATTTCAGTGATGATCCTCCATAGCAACAAATCTAATTTACAAAAATTTCACCACAACAAAAATTTGTACCAGTTTTGAACTTGGAACTTCCTCCGATCATCTGGTATATTATGTGCCTGCCTGTCTGTCTCTTTTAGACTGTAAGGCCCTGTGGCAGCACTTATGTGATCTTCTTTGTATTGTACAGCTCCGACCACACTTCAGTGCTTAATAAATATTGACAGTTATATATTGTTTTCTTTGTTTTCTTGCACTCATTCTAATAAGTTATAGTTTAAAGCTTTCCAGCTATTCAATAAAGTAATTTTTTCTAAATGCAAATATCTAATTATTTGCGAGCACATGTCCTGTGATGGGAATCAGGCCCATTATATGACCGAAGGTCTCTGCTTTCAACATGATTTTATTTCCAGATTTTATCTGGAAAGCAAAGCATTACCTAGTCCCCATGTCCCTGCAGTCCCTTAAACAACCAAGTAGGCTGTCTGCCTCCATTAATATTGCCTACAGGCACAGTCATGCTTCAAGCCTATTGGGCTGTGGTACCTCTAACAACAAGAGCCCAACTCAAAGCTCATCCCCCCATAGAAGGGGTATAAGCCCTCCTGGTGGAGATGCCCCATACCTGTGCTCTGTAATGAGCTCTGTTTCCAGCAATGCTAATACCGATATCTGCCCTAGATCTCTTTAGTATCCAGTCTGAGCTTGAGTTTGGTATTTGGGGCTAAAACAATTTCCTTACTGAACAGTTGTGACAGATGCGGAAAAGGGCAAGCGGTCTAAAGCTCTCCCATCCACATAAGTGTTCGCTCCAAAATGGGGGAATCACTAAAACATATGCACCACTAGCCTCAATTGAATCAGGTGGTCTCAGTTTTGTTTTATAAGCCCTCTGCTGCTAGCAGCTGATGGAAATCCTCTTTTAGCTCAAGTGGGAAGGGTCTCTTCTTTTGGAGCTAGAGGATCTAAGTTCTGTCCTTATAGCTGCTGCGAGGTTCTGAATGGTGATGGTGTGCACAATGCTCATAACCATGACATGGCTCTGGGGATATGGATTAGTTACCGTTATCTCCATTCTACAAATGTAGAAACTGAAATAAATCAGATAAGTGACTTGCTTCAGGTTACACAGCATGTCAGAGTTGGGAACAGTACCCATATCGCCTGACTAAAAGTCTAGAGTTCTAATCCCAACACATGCTTCCTCAAAAGAGACATCATTACAACAAATCAGAACTGAGAGAATTTTATAACAGAGATCCTTTTAGGGAAATTGGACCATGTAATTCCCAGAAGAAACTTGGAGCAATGGATTATATAAGTACTAAAGTTTATTTTTCTCTAATGCAAACAATTGTACAGTATTCTCAGTCAGATTTCATTTCTGATCTTTCACTGCAGTTATTGCTAAGTGACCACGTTACTTCTTGTGTAGAACCAATCAGGCTAGAAATGGAAAATGAATCAAGGAGGTTAAATTATTCATACATTATCACTGGTCATGCCAATTAACATAATTTCAGTTACATAAATACAACTCATAATTAGTGGTCCCGCATGGTCCAACTAATATTATAATATACTGTAGTTTTATGAAAAAAGCATAATAGAACCAACACTTTAACTCTTTAAAGGGCAGACTGCATTTGGTGGTTTATTTAAAAAACACTGATCATAAGGTTTTTGTTCTATATTTTCACTTCAGCTAAAGTATTTTGAATAATATTGGCTTAGGTGCTTATGTTGATTAGGAATAAAAGGTCAAAACTGAAAGAGAGATGAATGGTATGTCTGGTGAGGTAATAAAACACACAGCATGCATATAACCAAGTTTGGTGACTTTAGACTTGCCTGTCCAATTGTCAACCCCATTACTTCTCCTTCACTCCAGTTCTACAAAGACTGAAAAATAGGATATACATGTATGTCTTTTGATAAACATGACACTATAAGAATTACAGAGGGGTATAAATTTACAGGATAGTTGTGTAAATGCCTTCAGTTTTTGTTTTTAACCAGTATATGGATGTTCCCCTTATAAACAGTGTTCTTGTTGTATGGTAGCTTCCCCCTTTGGGTATAGAAAGAGGCTTTAATAAGAAAATGGGTCAAATCCTTGTCTGAGGCAAATCAGCATAGCTCCATTGATGTCAATGAACACAATGTTAAAATGGCAGCCTAATGAATTTTCTGGACTTGATATTTAAAAGTTTTTGGCATGTAAATATGAGTTTAATTTGTATGTACAATTGTATATACAAAATTACATTTGGTCAAGCAGATACCGGATTTGTACATGCAATTGCTGCATAAATTATTTACAAAGTAGTTTCCCAATTCTGCAGTAAGAACATATGGGGCAGATTGTTGTGCTCTACAGAGCAGTATCAGAGCCTAGGTGTGCAAATACAAAACTTACACTAACCTACCACCTTTAACTTCAAGATTTTCGTTAAGGTGTTGTTTTCCCCATACCAAGTCCAGAGATTTTGCTATCTGGGTTTGTGATTTAATATACTTATATTAGCCTGCAAATTCAGAGAGAGCAAGTGGGGTACCAGACTAAATCTTGATATACAGGGATTGAGTGGAGTAGTTCCCATTAACACATGTCAGATCTCATAAAGATTTAAATTGTTAATACATGAATTGCATAGAAGTTTTTATTATTTTCTATTTCTGTCTTCAGTTAATTTATTTTACTTCGATAGGATGATATATTACAGCATGTCTTGTAATATTTTTCCACAACGTTTACAAATTGTACTTTACACAGTACATGTTGTTGCTCTCCGTAGTGTATATTTGGATGGAATGAGTCTAAAGTCTTTTGGGATGATGTCTGCTTTGAAACATTTCCTAATAAAAATAATGTGGTTGGTAAATCTAGTTTTATTCCTAGTTGCTCTAGCCAGCATGATGGAGTAATCTGCTATTTTATGGTCCCGAAGACTAGCTAAGTTTCACTTCTTGAAGTAGTACTATACGATATCATTTTCTTTAAAGATGTCATAGTGGGTCAGGTTGCAATAACAATATTTAAGATTAAATTTAATGGCAGTGAACATTCAATATTATAGCAGTTGCTAGATATCACCCAGTACAGTTAGAGTTTCAGAACAATTTCCATTATAATGTCCTTTTTCTGTGTGCTCCTAGCTTTCAGAAAAATTAAGCTTTTGGGGCTGAATTTATCTAAGGTTGCTCTCTACCCAAATGTGATTTAAAAAAAAAAAAGTTTGAACAGTATCTTTTCTATGTTTGAGTGCAGGGAAGGGGAATATGCCTTTTATAGTGTAAAAACTTCTACTACAACTCTTTTAGACAAGGCTACTCTAAAAGAGCTGAAGTTTGAAACTTGATATTGACATAATCATCATAAAACTAGTGCCCTTGATTGGGGTGAGAAATGGTTTTGATTAATGAATTCTGACATTTTGAACTGAACATTTGCACACATTTACACACTAAACATGTATATTAGAAAATTTCCTTAAGCATATAGGACCTGTCTGCACTGCCCCACAGTTTGGAGTACTGGAGTTTGAATAGCAGTGCACACCAAAGTGCTGCACTGTAACTCCCATGCATGGATGCTGTGGGCATGAATGAAAAGGTTCCTAGTTTGCATTAACGTAGTCCCCTTCAAACAGGACTACATCAATGTGCAGTAGGAACCTTTAAGTTTGCACCAGTAGCATCCACACAGGGGAGTTACAGCACAGCCCTTGGAAGCACACTGTTATTCGCACCTCCGTAGTCTGAACCTACCAGATAGCGTTGACCTGCCCTTAGGTTCACACTTAGCGGCACAGTGATTAGCTAGTTAAATGCACACTTTTCAAAGCTTGCTGTCTTTCTTTAAATGTTAATGTCTTTACTTGGCTTTGTTTTGTAGGTATCACTTCAGCCAAAACATCAAAGCAAATTGAAGAAAGTACATTCAGTAGTTTTACTGTACTACTATGATTGTTTAAAGCTAGGAGGTTGCACACTTTGTAGCTTGTGTAAGCCGAGCTTCTTGTACATTCTGCGTATCCTTGCATTCCTCCATTCTCCACCACAGACACCCTGTTTGCCACCCCTTGTTTTTCAAGTACTCCCTACAACCTGCTAACCTCCTCTCTGCTAGGGTCTCTGTATGCCCCCCATCCAGGGTCTCCCATACCAGGGTCTCCTCTTCTCCCCCATACCAGCAGCTCCTTATACACACTCATCCCACCTTCCCCCAGGCCCTCCATTCCCTTCCATGGCAGGATCTGTGTGTGCGCCTCTACCCCTCTTCCCTCCCAGGTAGGGGCTCTGTGTGCCCCCCCTTCCCTGTTGTCAGATTCCTCCAATCTCTCCTCATCAGGAGGTTCTATGTTCCCCCTCCATCATGGCGGGGGATCTGTATGCATCTCATTCTGCTTTTTCCCATCCTTCCCTCCTTCTTCCCATATCAGGATATCCCAATCTCTCCCCCACCAGAGGTACTGTGTGCCCCACATTCCCTCCTTCCCTGCCATGCCTGGGGTTCTGTGCTCCCCCCTGCCTCCATCACTGTGGTCCCCATTCTCTGTCTCCCATACCAAGGGTTCTTTGTGCCCCCTTCCTCCTATTCTAGGGTTTCCCATTCTCCCTCACCCCCATGCTGGGGCTGTGTGCACACACTCCTTTTCCCCTTCTTACCATTTCCTCTTCTCTGTCCCTCCCTCCCCCCGCCGATTATTATTTTTTCTGTCTGAGAGAGAAATCATTCAATGTGTCAGCATGTTAACCTCTATTGGAAAGAGAAGCAGTGATTGTTATAAGGGTAGTGTTATGCTGGAAGGTGTTAATGGCTGACATCAACTGGTTAATTGATTTATATATAATTACACAGGTGCTTGAGGCTATGGCTGTGTTAAAGAGGTAGGAGGAGTTTCATGTGTCCACTGTCACCCTTTCAATTTTCTAACTTTTCTCCAAATCAGTATGGGTTCCGGCCATTGATGCCTAAAATATTCCCTGAAATTTTGGAATTGATCAAATGCGGCATTTACAAGTTATTGAGTTACTGACAGAGAAGTAGTGTTGAGTTTAGTGTAAGCACGTCACAAGCTTGGCAGTACTTAATTAACCAGGAGACCTTTCCAATGGTGAAGCTAAGTAGCTCGAGGTAAAGTGATTGGATATGAATTTTGTTTGCTTCTCTAGTGTTTCTGAATGGGTTACTTTGTGTCCTTCGGCATTCTTAATGGCTTTTTTGACTAGTTCTATAATTAAATAGAGCTGCGCGGGGGACAGTAATTATCTTTTTGCGGAGGTGCTCCACCCACCACTAATTATTTTTCATACACTAGTCAAGTAAAACAACAAAAATGCCCCCAAAATACAGTGACCCATTCAGGAAGAGGTGGGAAACGCAGCTTCCAGGTTCTTGGCTCCCCACTAGCCTGCCTGCTGAAGAGGCAAGCAGATGAGCTATGAGGCAACCAGACAGGTTTCAAAATCTGCCTGGTTTCGAGCAGAATGTCATGAAAATAGAACCATTTCTGTGAAACATTTCACTTTGGATGAATCAGCAAATTCTGACAAAAATGTTTTGTCAAAATTTTTCCAACCAGCTCTTAAAAAAATAAAAAAGTAAAATTGGAAATAGTGAGGAATCTGTCAAAAAGACCAGAAACATCTTATTTGAATCTAGACTGACATCAGTATTTAGTTAAAATGCCTCAGCAAGGACAGCGTGGATGAACAAATTGTTCAAGGGGATATAGTCGTTCACATTTAGGTCACCAGTTCAAATTCAGCCCAAGTTGTTTAGTGATTGACAGTTGATACCATCTGCTTGCTATTTGGCATCCAGTGTGATATCATTTGGTGGTTACAGTCCAGTCTGCAAGGCCAAGTGTGCACATTGCAGATATCACCACCACAGTTGTTGCTAATTGGCAATTATACCTAGGCAATTATTGCACACAAAGATTCATGAACATTTGTTGTAATGGAAGTCATGAATTTGTGTAGCAGCTTTTGTGACTCCCATTTACTTGCTTTTCATGCGAATTTGTGCAACAAACGTGTTCACAAAAATATTTCTGGAACAGGAAAGTGTTGTGGTTACTCATGCAAATGCATCTTCACATGTGAATATCCATATGACATGTTTACACAGCCATCTTGAAATCTCATTGTGAGTTTGTTGTGAATAGAGACCTTCTTCACTAAGACAATATTGTTTTTTAACGATAAATGGTTTTTAGCCTGTGCATATATTTTCATCTCTAACAACCTTTATCCATTTAGCTATGAAGAAGAGTTAACAGATTCTTCATATTTACAGTAATAATAAGATCTCAGTAATAAAGATAGGGTAGCAAAAACTCTTAAAATGCTCCAGAAAGTTCAGTGTGTCCTCTAAATTTCACCTTAATATTTATATGTGGTTATATGTGGTCATATGTTACAATGGAGAATATCTCTACCTAACATTGGATCTACAATTTTTAAGCATTTAATTGATATATATCTCTTGTTTGTAACCTCATCAAAACTCATAACATGATTTAAATAGTTATCATACTTGAATTTTGTATGGTGTGTTCAGTTGATATGTGCAGTAACTTGTATTTATACATAAACCTGAGCAATGAAAATAGTTTAAATTTCAATAAAAAGATAATAAATATAATGAGTGTGTGTGTGTTATATATAAAATTTATCTTAAAAGTAAGAGCCTTCAAAGTTAAACAGTTGTGGCCTGTTAACAATCTAGATTGTTGGCAAGTCTTTAAACTCACTAATCAAAACATAAAAAGACAAAGGAAACTTTTTTTACAATGCAAGAATCCTGAACAAATTTCAAATCCACTTCACCAAACCATGTTTAAAATGTTGCTTTAGAGGGATAAATTATTCTTTCTCTCACAGGGGAGATGAATTTTATCGATAGGGCAGTGAGCTCTGAATAGGGACTGACTTTTCCATCTTTGTTATAATTTATGTATTCTGTTTGTGCAGAGGGCATTTTTGATGATATTCTAATTGTGAACTTTTCAAATTATTTCATGTAATTTTGTTTAGAGGGAAAAAAGTGGGTAGCTTCTTTCAACTTAATTGATATTTTAGCTAAGCTTGAAAATGGCAATTCTTTGTATTGGATTGTATTTTTTACCAATTTACAGATATGTAGACTTTTTAAAGGTCTAGTTATGTATATGGAAAATTAAGAAAGCAACTGCTTTATCTGGAGTTTTGAACTTCAAATATTTCACTTTCTGTGTTAATTAAATTAATCAACCTGCCAAAATGTACCTGTGCAATGTTGTTTATACACCATTTGAGTCCCACTTAACCATTTAAATTAAATGGTTTAAAAATGGGTCATAAATAGTGCATAATTTTTGTATGGACTGTCTGTATGAGAGGGACTTTCACCAATAGTGCTCAGTCACAGGCCCCATATATCAAAAGATCGAGGCACATAAATCCAGATAGGCCGTCTGAATGCACTGTGCACCTGGTATGCAAAGAAGAGGGAACCTGTACCATTAATACAACAGAGAGCTGCCAGTCTGCCCAAGGAGAAAAATTCATATACATGAGCTCTCTGCCCTATGCACATCCCCAAACAGAGTGAGTGGCCAAGAAGAACATGGGAAGTATTCCAACCTTAGAGCTGTAGTAACCCAAGAGCAGCTCTTTTGATGGGAAGGGAAAGGACTGGATCCAGATTCTTATTCTCTGTCATTGTTGAGAAAAAACTGATTTTTCAGGGAGGTGGTGATAGTGAACTGTGGCTTTTGGACTCTCTATTCTTGCCCCAAACCTCTCCGCCATTGCCATGGAGGTTGGGTTATATCAGCCCATTGGGCCTGGCTTGGTCTTAGCTGAGGTCCATTTCGGAACGGTCAGCAAACCTGCCTAATTTCTGGCTTTGGGCATTTCTCTTAGGTTTACAGGACTGCTTGCAAAATCTCAGAGCTTGTAGTGTGATCACAACTACTGCACTCATGAAAGTGGCATGTAATAGATTAAAGGAAGATGAAAGTGGGGTCTTTGAAGGCATGCTGAAAAGAAGACAGCTCTTGGATCCTTGAACTCCAGTGTTGTCAGAATACACTTAAAGTAGCAAAGAGATTATTCTCCTGATTTACACTTTTTCAGTTTCCCATAGTATTGTGGGCATATACAGTTCAGCCTAGTAATCCTATTCAGTCTGTCCTCAACTGACTTATTACTCACTAGGTAGGAATCTTCTTACCCACTGGAACGTCATTCAGTGTCTCCCCTTACACCATTCCCTAGTGCTTGATGCCCTTGTATACAGCAATGGATAGAATCTTTTACTGTGACCCTGGGATGGGGAGGTGTTGAGTGGCTGTATAAGCATTATGTGGACTCCTTGAAGCTGCTTTTGCACTCAAGATCTGCTTTTTTTGTGCCTGCAGAGCCTAGATAGCCTGCACAGCTTCTGGAGGTTCCATGCCATGGATGGTGTTGGGCCAAAGATTGGACCACATCCTGTCCTGAATGTGCCCATTTAAATTCTAGTAACATTTATCCTGTAATATTCAGTGTTGTGTTTCATGCTGGTCCTGCTGACCTTTTGTGGCAGATTCTGCACTAAGCCCCCCATATAATACTGAGAAAATATGCCGTAGGAGATGATGTTGACACTTCTAAAACACACATTTTAGGGCCCATGTTTTTTACACTATTTATATACAAGTGTCCTATTTCCACCACTTCAGATATATCCTGTAGGTGTCAAGAGTTTCATTGGCTTTCTGTTCTGCCCAAAGAGCACTGCCTGCTGTATACCATGGTAGTGGGTCAGTGGTGTATTTGAATGCGGGTTGCAAATACAGCATGGGAATTTCTTTTTGAACTGCACAGTATAAGGTAATAGCATAATTCTTAAGCAATAGATGTATAGAGTACACAGTATTCTACTTCCATTGAGGTAAGACAATCCAAATGTTGTTTTAGGCTTTTGAAAGCATTCTATGCTGAGTTTTGGATTGGCAAAACTTCCAGCAGTTTTGGACACTGGGCTGTTGGAATTCATGACTGTGTCTCATAGACTCAGACTTTAAGCCATTTAATGCATTTTACGTGTTGTGGATACAGGCTTGGGAGATGTTGACGTGCACCATTGAAAATGTACTTAGACTCCATATTAATTAAGCTTTGCCTCTTGTTTCATTTAAAAAAAAAGGGGAGCTAGGGTGAAAGGGTAACTTCTTAATTCTTCTTATAGTTCTTTGAATATCTGCCGAACACTCTCACTTATTTTTTCTCACATAGAATTCCTTTAGTATTCATGATGTCCATTTATCATTTTAATTTTTATCTGTTATACATTCAGGCCCCTTAATGATCCTTCTTTGTTCTAACAAAGAAATTTTGCTAGCTTTTGTATTCTCCACGAGTTAGGAATTAGTTGAAGGTTTACCTTTGGAAAAATGCTAAATTACCTGTAATGATGTAACTTCAAAGGAAGCATTTAATGTAGTTCTACTCTGACCCATTCTTGTTTTTGGAAATTATATATATGTATTTTTTTTAGTATTACTATTGTCCCTGCTGACCCAGATTAAAAGGAATTGATGGCTAGAGGCAAGGTTGCTTTTATTTTTTTAAACTCTTACCAGAGGTGCACTATAGTGCCCTCATGTGGGAATTCTAAAAACATAATTACATTCCAGTCTCTCTGAGAATGGGAGCTCTGAGGCAAATCCTGTTCACACTACTCATGAGAATAGTTCCCAAAAGGATTTTACCTTTTGTCCTTTTCTGCTGCACTTGCAAACAAAACTATCTGAATTACTACTGAAATGTAAAATAATCCCCTTTTCATTGAAGCCCTGAAATAGCAAAACCCAATGAGAGAGGTTAAAAACAGAATCTTAGTCTTAGCTCTGCATTTCCTAGCTTCTGCTGGTGTAACTCAAATTCATACTATTATTAATGGTATTTTTATTGCCCCATATTTAATAGGCTCTCCTTATTCTGATCAAACCTAAATTAAATGGTAAGTACTAAAGGAAAAAGGGTATACAATCAAAGTACTAGAAGTAATTGGTCAGCCCAAGCATTGCTAGAGCTATGTAATGAGTTGGGGGACAAAACAGGGCTTTGGTGTCAGTCATAAAGTTCATAGCCTCTAAAACTGACAATGAAAACACATAGCTACTTTAGCATATTTTTCTGTGAATTTAAATGACAAATTATTGTATATATTGAATATCAGAGCAACAGAAAAATCATACACCATGGATAGACTTTATTAATTTAAGACACAGATGACAGACATTAGACAAGCTTAGAAGTCTGACAGACTGAGTCTTGGTGTTTGACTAGCGCAAGAGAAAATGAGAATTTGTCTTTTTGTAGATTATTTTTCTCCTTCATAGTATAGTGTACATTAAATAAACTAATACATATGAAACATACACATTAGAATAAAATTTAAGTCTGGAATGATGCAACTTATTTGGAGAAAAGATTTCAGAAGGATTGTACAAGAAATACAGCCCCTAAGACATAGCATATCAAATATAATAAAATGGGGGAAACTGGTTTGCTCAGGGAATTAATAATGAGATTATAGGGTTTTTCTCTGCTTAGTCACCATTTTGAATTTGGAGTAATTATTCAGCAGACTATGTGAAATGAGCTGCGTTCCACCCACTTTCTAATAAAGGTCATTTTTTTAAAAAACCTGCTCTCACCAATTTGCTAACAAACAATGAAATTTGGAAACACAGGAATTGCTTGACCATGATGGTGCCTCCAAGATCAATTTGTACAGGACAAGTGAATTTTTTTTTCCTAATTCCCCCTGTACTCTTCCCACATGTTGTGGGTGCAAGCACAGACAGATTAGTGTGAATATTAACAGAACACATCATATGGTATGACATTTACCCAGGTGCAAAGGACCCACATAAGACTGTGCTGGGTGGAGGGGGAAAGGACTGCTGCACTTCCTGGGCATCAGTTAAGGGTGTCTCTGAGGCAGCTCCAATAAGGGTCGCAGAGTTTATGGTGGGGGGAGGAACCAGACTCTGGAGGGTGTCCTGGAGACCCAGTGGGCCCAAACCCCTGCATGCTGTTCCTCATAGGAAGGAAGAGTGGCTGTGCAGAGTTTGGGTTGCAGCCTCACAGGTTGTCTGTGGGTTGCGTGAATTCTATCTTCCTTTGTCTGGTTTAGCATGCTGCACAAAGCCCAGATTACACAGGATTTGTATGGGGAGGGATGAATTTCACCCACTATTGCAGCTATTTGGGAAAACTGTTGAGTATTCAACAAGGATCCAACTGTGCCACCATCATTCACGTTGACTAATATCTTATCCCATGAGTAGCCCCAACAATGTCAGTGGCTGTTTGCAGAGTAAATTACTGTACTAACATTGTGAGTAAAGGTAGCAAAATCAGGCCCCATGTTAGAATCCGTACAGATAATTTAAACACAAGGATGATCTCACAAGAATGCAAAGATCCCTAGTTTATAGTCTCTCAAAATGCTAGTGCAGCTTTTTGCTCAGGATAGGAGAAAGTGATGTAGTAGTTTATCTTTATAGATCATTCCTGAAGAAGACCTCATATTCCAAACATTTTTTTTATTAATTTGTATTGTTTATTTCCAGCTGTAACAGAGTGGCTTGCCCCTTAAATTTTGGA